ATAATGTAATATAAATATATATGTATATATATATATATATTTTTATAAATTAATTACAAATATATATTTTATATTTTAAATGATCAATAAATACACATTCGAAATATTGTTGTAATCGTGTTAGACACTTTTTACGCTCCTGTCCGAAAATGTTAGACGAAAATAAAAAAGAGTCACGCGAGAATGAGATTTTGCTGAGTATGTATTCCGGGTTTCGATCCACGAAAAAGCCAAGTTAGTTTTATTTTACAATCCATCGATCCCTGCGACACGGGGGTTGGGGAATATCGTAGCTTTTCGAGACGGAACTAAGGAGGAGGAGGAGAAGAGTCTACAGATGGTGGTGGTAGTAGTGATGATGGTAGTGGTGGTTGTGATGGTGATGGTGATGGTTATGGTGGTGGTAGAATCCTTCAGGAGTCTCTTATAGAAAGGGGAAGTAGTACATAAGGGTCCTGAACCGTCGCCTGTCAACTAGTGTTTTAAAACTTTCTGACAGTCTACAAATTGACTCGCTCAGTTCTTTTTAAAAGCAGGACTAAGCTCGACCAATCAGAATACATACCTTCACCCTTCCCATATATATATATATAGATAGGTACTCCATTGACTTTTTTCTTACGATAAATTCGAAAATCACTTTTATCTAATTCTTATATACATCAATAATAATAATATCTATATGCATAATCAAAATAACAAAGTAAACGAAAGTGCACGTTTAACATTAATCGAAATAAAAACCTTTTTTCCCGTTGACTATTATTATCCCTATCACATTTATAAGTATATAAGAAAAAAGTTGACAAAATTTTGGCCCTTTTATTTTTTATTATACAAGATATATACCCTAATACCTATATTCCTAAGTATTATATATATATACATGTGTATACTGCGAAAAGTTGACAAAATTTTGGCCCTTTTATTTTTTATTATACAAGATATATACCCTAATACCTATATTCCTAAGTATTATATATATATACATGTGTATACTGCGAAAAGTTGACAAAATTTTGGCCCTTATTTTTTTTTATACGAGATACACGCGTATTCCCATCAGTTCCCTCACTTACTATGACTTCGAATATGCTTGCGTGAGATTTCAATCGGCTAAGTTTAAAAGTATTTCGACGTAAAGCGAGATCCATTTTTCATATTTCTCTATGCACAGAAATGTTCACTCTATCTTTTTCTTTTTCTTTCTTTCCCTTCCCTACCCTGTTTCCTTCTCTCTTTTAAGGTCGAGGGACTGTTCCGTTTGATACACTCTATTAGTCACATCTTTCAACTGATTTATCGTTTTTCTCGTATTATTATACATTTTTCTTTTTTTTTTTCTTGCCTTTCTATTTGTAAGAAGGATATCTATTCTGCGTAGGAGAAAACGAAATATATATATAAAGAAAGAAAGAGAAATACGATAGTTCCATTGAACGAAAAGAAAAATATCATCAATGATTATTACGCGTTATTAACTTTAAAAAATTCTACAAGAAAGTATCGTAAATTGCTAGGGAAAATAGAAAAATGGTAATACGTTAGTTGTTTGCTAATAAAAATGTCTTGGTTATTGATCAAATATATTTCATATTGAAATGTATATTTTTACGTAAACGAATAGTATATATATATATATTACTCAACTATATTATAAAATGATTAACTCGAGAGAAATAATGCAAATAAATTATATTAAATTGCTTGTGAGATTTTTGTGAAAATTTTATGGGGCACGTGTCCGGTGCTTGAAATAAAACCAACGGAAAAAAGAATTGCTTTTTGAAATTAAAAAAAAAAACGAAAAAATGTAACTTGTTTTCCTAATCGTTTCTAATAACGTAAAAAAAATGATTCTAATAATGTAAAAAAAAAAACTAAACGCAGTCTGTTCCTTATTTTTCTCCAGGCATATGATATCGATACGAGGTAACAAAAGTATTTGAATAATTCGTTGTTGATGAACAATGAATAATAATAAATAATTGTATTAGTTTCATGTCGCGTTGTTCAAAGAATCGTAAGATGGTAAATCGTTAGATTGTTCAGGCATCGGTTGTTGATTAACCATAAGATTCGTCGATACGTAAGACGGTGATTTAGCTGGAACTTGGTTGGTAATAAGATTTTCGGATGTTTGTGGGACTGGATTTTCAATTGGTATTGACCATTCTTTACGAGCACCATCCACGATCATCCAGAAGTATATATTGATTACTAACAATTAATGAATTTATTTATATACACGATTAACCGTATTATTATTATATATACATAATTGTATAATTACTTACTCAGATAAATGCAACAAAATATTACGTATAGCGTGAATTTTTTAAATATATCGTAACCTTCTTCCAACAATTGGATACTCAGAAATATTGTCTGATCTATTATGTTAATCATTTGGAAATATAACCATGGTCCGGCATACTTAGATTCTCTCTGTAAATATATACGCGGAAGTTTAGCAAGATCGTTAGCGGAGTTTAGACGAGGTCGTGAAGGTCGATACGTGCCAAAAATACTTTATCGAGTTATAAAGAAGTTACACTATGTATTTGATCGATCCTATACACGCGTCGTCATCCAAGGTTTCTCTTTATTGTTAATTTTGTTTTTTCTAATACTACTACTCACCACGGTAGTTCCGTAAGCAAGATACGCGCTTGAAAAAAAAAACAACAAGCTGTATACGATTATAGTAGAACAAGCAATGACGATTATTTCACCTGTGAACATTTATTTTTATAATAATATTGATATATATATATATATATATATATATATTAGTTATAATATAATCGTTTTGTGATCATTTAATAATTACTACTTACATGAATCATTTAATTGAATATGTTTGAAGATAGATGTCCAACTCAAGCCAAGGGGAGCCCAGGATTCGAGAGTTTTAAAGAAATCACTTTCGGGAACTTTTATTAATAGTTGACTCGTAAAAACATTTATTAGAAGTATCGAGAATGCCTAAAAAAAACAGAACAAAATGTTACAATCTATTTATCTTTATATTCAATAACGTTCAATAATCGATTGTATAGATAAGGAAAAAAAACAATTGGAAAAATTGATGATTTTTTTTGGTATAAAACACAAAGTATAATATTAACTTACCAATGTATAAGTGCTGATCATTCTCGACGCTATAGTTAATCCCATACAACACAACGAATTCCACATGATAGAAATGATTTTTAATTGATCGATGAAACGAACAGTTTAATATCAAGCAACTTTTCATTAAACGCGTTTCACAGTTGATTTATCCTTTCGTTGTGTCGATCAGAAGCGACACTTGTTCGATTGTTGGTGAAAAAAGAAAAAATGTAAACACACATGGTCTGAGGTAAACATACGTTATTAACTACAATACAACGATCATTTACTATCTATGTATGTCTATCGTACGCTCACAAAACACTTGCATATGTGCTCTCTCTCTCTCTCTTCTTTTTTTCTCTGTCGTGACAATTTTTTTTTGTGTGAATATTTATTCGTTATTTATATCTTCACGTCACATCACTCATTTGTTATTCCATGCACTTAATTTTATATCTAAAGATTTAAAAAAAAAAAATAAACTACTTGTTGATATTCAAATATAACGATGAAAGACCAATAGAAGTGTTCCGCTAATATTTAAAGGCGCGAATGGTCGAACGTGTCATTTTCTATTATTGTCTTATACTCTTAACTATTGAATTTATACTAATCGATCGTAATGTATTATATTAGCACAAACAACGTCGAAGCAGTTTGTTCCATTAAGAGATAACACCGCTACGCAATTGCGTAATTAATCGTGAATATACATAATTATGTTACGACGTTGCAAAGATCAAAATCGTGATAAAGGAAAAATTTGATTGGAGAAAATAAAATGCGATATGCTACGTTCGATAGTATCGAACTCGTAAATGTTTTCACGCATGCGCATTACGCGTATCGTCGTTCTGCTTGCAGTGTACTTGTCCGTAACACGTGACTACCAAACGCGTTAGATAGAAAAGGTTATGTAGCCTCGTGTTTGTTTTTGACGTGCATTCTTATGTCTTTTTTTAAGTGTATTTTAATGTGCTTTTATTCAATTGTCTACTCTTTTTTGTTGTATAATATCGAACAATGACCGTACAAGAAATGGATATTTGTTTAAACATCTCAACAGATCCTGGAGTTGGTTTACCTAAAAATGTAAGTAATTTTTAATTAAACTTAAGTTATGTTTGCGTTGAGGTTTATTAAAGAAACATGTATGTATTTAGAAAAAGAAGAAACCTAAAAACTTTGTTAAAAGATTGACGAAAGAATCGGTAGGTAAAAAAGAAAGTAAAACGAGCAGTGAATCGAACAATATTTTGTCTAATCAAAGTGGAGGAATTAAAAGAGTTAAACAAAAAGCATTGGCAACTATAGTTGCCAAGAAATTACAACAAAGTAATAGTATCAATAATTCTCAGAATACACAAAAATTATCTAATTCTCAGTTTAAGTTAAAAAATAAAAGCAATGCGCTTACAACTGCAACAAATAAATTAGATAAAATACCTTCCGCTACAAATACACAGAGTACAGATTCTGCTAAGATTGTAACGGAGACAAATAATGCTTCTAATGAGCCAGTCATATCGTTTGTTAAAGTTCCCAAAAAATCACTTAATAAAACAGTCATCGCAAAGAAAAGAAATGTAAGCGAAGCTAGTTCAAAAAAGTCTTTATCTGAAATATTTTCCAATCAGGTAACAAAAAAGAATATAGAATCAGATTTGTCAGATGTAACTTTAAATGTTAAAACAGATGACAATGATATGACTCAGACAGCGCATGAGAAATCTACTATAGAACAGTTTCCTAAAAAATTTGATCGGATAAAGCAATCAAGGAAGTTAGATACAAATTTAAACAGTAGGAAAAAGAATCAATTTAAGGGTATTATAGATCATAAAGGAGAAAAAAATGAATCTTCCAATAAAACTTATCAAAGTTATAAGAATCAAACTGGGAAAAGCTCTTCTTTATTTAAAAATAATCCAGAAGTTCCAAATATTGGACAGAGACTTGTAAAACCGATTAGTGAAACAGTTTTCACAAAAATTAATTTTTCGGATCTCGACGTACATCCTTTTATGGTTAGTAGTAATGTTGATAGAATAAAGTATTTCAATTTAATATTATAATTGAATATATATTATATCTATTACTTTTATATTAAGGTATCAAATTTAGAACAAAATATGAACATTACTAAAATGACTACTGTTCAACAAATGGCGATTCCTCAAATATTTTCTGGGAAAGATGTTTTAATCAGATCTCAAACTGGATCAGGGAAAACATTAGCATATGCTATACCAATTATTGAATGCTTACATAAAATAAGACCCAAATTAACAAGGAGTAGTGGTTTAAGCGCATTAGTCGTTGTACCTACAAGAGAATTAGCTTTACAAACTTATGAGTGCTTTTTGAAATTAAGAAAAGTAAGTATTAATATAAGTTCATTTATCAAAGATAGAAGTATACCTTTTGTATTCATTTCAAAATGTTTATCTTTATTGTTTGCTCTATTATCACAGCCATTTACATGGATTGTGCCAGGTTATTTAGTTGGTGGAGAAAAAAGAAAAGCAGAAAAAGCTAGATTAAGGAAAGGTTGTAATATTTTAGTCGGTACTCCTGGTAGATTATTAGATCATATTAGACATACAGAAGCTTTAAAATTAGTTGATGTTAAACATTTTGTATTGGATGAAGCTGATAGAATGTTAGATGCCGGATACGAGAAAGATATTGCAGGGTAAAATATTATCTTATGAAATCATTTTATATAGATTATAAAATTCTTAGAATATTTATATCTTCAAATTATATTTTTAGCATAGTCGACGCTCTTAAAGGAACTAATATTACATCAGATAATTCAAATTATAATCCTATGGAAATGTTAAAACAAAATAGTAGAAAAGTTTTCACAGATGAAGAAACAACTCTTCCAGAAGAAAATAATAAAAAAGAACAAAGTTCTAATGATAATGAGGAGACATCAAAGTTTGAAAATAATACAAATAATGATAAAGATAATATAAAAGATTTAACTAGACAAGCATATCACTCGAACAGTGAAAGTGAGTCTGAAGAAGATGATTTTCCTGTAAAGATAAAGAAAAAAAAAGAGAAAAAATCTTGTATAAAACCTATAGAAGAAAAAGAAGAAAATTTAAAAGCATCTAAAGATCTCATGCAAACTCTGCCAAAAAGACAAACAATTCTTTTATCCGCAACATTAACTCAAGCAGTGGAAAAATTAGCTGGATTAGCTATGCATAATCCAGTATTTGTTGATGCAGCGAAAGAAAATCTAGTAACATTTGGTGGAGATGAAGATCAGATTAATGAAGACTATGCAGTCCCTCAAAGCGTGCGTCAAAGTTATGTAGTAACTCCACCGAAATTGCGAATGGTCACTTTGAGTGCTTACATTGTCGATAGATGCAAGGTAAACAAAATATTACATACAAATAATAATTTATATTAATAAATTTTGTCATAATCATAATCTTTTACAATATTCCTTGTATTATTTGATAGCAATCTGGGCACAGTAAAATGTTAATTTTCATGGCGACGCAAGACATGGTAGATTATTATACTGAAATTTTATCAGTTATATTAACTAAATCGACTGATGAGGAAGACGAAGAATCCGACCCTCTTGTAGATGTAGAATTTTTAAAATTACACGGTAGCATGAGTCAAAAGGAAAGGACGGAAGTTTTTAAAAACTTTAGACTAGCAAATAGCAGTGTTCTACTATGCACGGTAAGTTATATGTAATATTCTTCATTTTATTTATTAATTTTTATTCAATATCAATTAAAAATGAACAAACTATCGTTTAAATATATATATTTCTTATTTTAATATGTCATACATATTAATACTTCAAAAGAAAAAAGAAACATTTATTTTGCAAGTCCATTATAATTAGTTTTTCGGTA